CAGATCCAGTCCCGACTCCGCACTCGCGATAGCGGCGGCGGCGGCTCAACCCTCCTCCTCGTGTGTGCGAGCGGATCTCCTCCCACCCAGCTCCAACCCCCGACTGCTCCCCGCACAACCCACGCCCGGCGCCGATTGACCCCTCGTCGCACCCGTACCTTCGCCTCGGTAGTTCTCCGTCTTGTCCGCCCTCGTTTCCGGCTATTGAGCGCTGCAGAACGAGGAACTACGAGCTCCGGCAGCGCCCGCGCGACCTCGCTGCGGGTTTCCCGGGGGCCGACGGGAGTCGGAGTTTAGGGGCTGGGCGCTACCGGAAGCGGCCCCGGCTCCCGGCAAGCAGCGCGAGGCGGAGGGCTGGTAGCTGCTTGGCGGCCCCACCTGTCACCGGGTGGGGGCAGGGGCAGGCCCTGGCGCGACTCCTGGCCGGGCTGAGGACCCGGAGTCTTTTAGCCCATAGGAGGGGTCCACTTGGGCCTGTTAGACACGGGATGCGGGAGAGCGGAACGCGTACGCTCAACTCCTGAAAACCCTTTCCCTCTCGTGTCGCCACCTTTTCTGCGTTCTCTGCCTCGCCGTCTCCCCACCTCGTTCTTTCCCTCTTCCTTCTCCCCATCCCCGGCCAGATTTTGCCCTACATTTCAAAGCCGATGCAGATTTCAAAGCCGATTTCATTTTATGTCATCATTTGGTGGAAGAGACAATAAAAGCGTGAGACGTTACCACTTAAACTGCAATATCGCTCGTAAAGCGCAGGGCCCAGCCTCTGCCCCGGCAGAAGGGATTGTTAACTGGAAACTTTCAATGACTCACCGTTTGTTTGATAAGTCATGTAAAGACTTCACCCAAACTTTTCCATCCCTTCCTCCTCTATACCAAAGTGTTTGCAAATTAAATAGAGGATGGTCGCATTCCATGATTTGTCTTGCTATGTTGACAGGGTTGTTTTGGTGCGTCCAGCTTCCTTTCGTATGCAACATTAGGTGAAGTGGTTTCTTTTTGAATGGTCTGATTTGCTCAAGAATTCCTATAATACTTTACTGACTGGCATCTCACTCGTACAGATTGCTATTAGGTAAACGTAGGAAAAGAAGAAAGCTAGCATTTAGACCCAATTTCATGAAGCAGGAAAATATATTGCTCTGAAGACCTGCTAAATTTTCCTGTAACTTACCCATGTGAGGAACAAGACAGAGAAAAATATGTTGTTGGTATTTTGCTGAAAGGAGTCTAGACAGGGTGCAACTAACCTGCCTAGAAATTACAGAGTAAGGCGAGTGAACACGCAGAGAATAGATCTTTCTCAACCTTAGGTTGTTGAAAAAACAAACAAAAACCCTTAACAAACTCTAGATCTAGATTGAATTTTTATTTTAAACATCTGTATTGTAAATATAAAAGAGAACTCAGCCTAGTGAGATAGGTCTAAAAACAGAGCTGTCAGGTACCTTTTTTCTTTGTATTTTTCTCTCTTTTTTATTATAAAGATGTGGGGTACAATTCAGATTTAGGTAAACAAACTTTGATTATGCAGGTACCCTTGTTGATGAGGTATGCCCCTCCCTCCCCAGCAGTTTCCCTCAACTGCCAATCCCGCCCCTCTTCCCCTGACAGTTTCCCATTCCTGCCAAACTCTTATAGTGTTATAATTGTTCAAGGTCCCCTTATGAGTGCGAACTTATGGTATTGTCAGGTACCTTTTAAAACAAGTCCTAGCCAGGTGTGGTGGCTCATGCCTGTAATCTCAACAATTTGGGAGGCAGAGGTAAGAGGATTGCCTGAGCCCAGGGGTTCGAGACCAGCCTGGGCACGTTGGCGAGACCTCGTCTCTCCATTAAATCAAAAAATTAACTGGGCATGGTGGTGCACCTATATTTCCAGCTCTTTGGAAGGCTGAGGTGGAAAGAACCCAGCAGGTAGAGGCTGTGGTGGCCATGAGCATGCCACTACTCTCCAGCCTGGGTGACAGAGTGAGACTCCAACTCAAAAATAAAATAAGCCAGGTGCGGTGGCTCAAACCTGTAATCCCAGCACTTTGGGAGGCTGAGGCAAGAGGATTGCCTGTACTCAGGGGTTCAAAACCAGCTGGACAACTTGGTGAGACCTTGTCTCTACAATAAATTTTTTACAAATTAGTCAGGCATAGTGGCACACACCTGTAATTCCAGCTACTTGAAGACTGAGGTGGAAGGATTGCCTGAGCTCAGCAAGTTGAGACTGCGGTGGCTGTGAGCATGCCACTGGACTCCAGCCTGGGTAACAGAGTGAGACTCCAACTCAATATATATATATAAAATAAAATAAACCAAGTCCTAAACTATAGCAGTTTGAATTTGAGATTAATATTAAACTAGCAAGGTTTGTAAATGCTTTATAAAAAACACACACTTGGGCAAATGAACTAAATAAATGCAGAAAAAAACCCCAGAGACCTCCAGACTGGTTTTTTTTTTTTTTGAGTTGGAGTCTCACTCTGTCACCCAGACTGGAGACCATGCCCGGCTAATTTTTTGATTTATTGTAGAGATGAGGTCTCGCCTGCCCAGGCGGGTCTCGAACCCGCGGGCTCAGGCAATTCACTCACCTCAGCCTCCCAAAGGCGCGAGATTACAGGCTGAGCCACCGAGCCTGGCTCAGACTGGTTTTAATTCCTCATCAAGTTTGTGGTCCGTGCTGTCTGAAAACTTCCTGGAATTGTTTTTGTTTGTTTTATTTTGTTGTTTTTCATGTTAGATGGTGTATGCCTCCACTTAAAAGAAAGTTCTAGTTACAGCTTATTTATTTATTTATTTATTTTAAGTTGGAGTCTCACTCTTGTTACCCAGGCTGAAGTGCAGTGGTACCCTCACAGCCACCACAGCCTCAACCTGCTGGGCTTAGGCGATCCTTCCACCTCAGCCTTCCAAGTAGCTGGAGCTACAGAGGCACACCACTGCACCCAGCTAGATTTACAGCCTATTAATATCATTCTCTGAAGACCCAACTGTACCCTTCTTAAGAATGTCCACTTTAAGCTGGGCATGGCGGCTCAAGCCTGTAATCCCAGCACTTTAAGAAGGCAGAGGCAAGAGGATTGCCTGAGCTCAGGGGTTTGAGACCAGCCTGAGCAATATGGCAACAACTCGTCTCTACAATAAATAAAATAAAAAAATTAGCCAGGTGTGATGACATAAGCCTGTGGTTCCAGCTACTTTGAAGTCTGAGGTGAAAGGATCACCTGAGCCCAAGCAGGTTGAGACTGCGGTGACAGTACACTTCAACCTGGGCAACAGAGTGACACTCAAAAAAAAAAAAAAAAAGAGAATGTTCACTTTAAAGTTGATACTAAGTGATTGTCCTCAGATATACAGATAGCTTATTAACATAATAATTGGTTAAAAATCAGAGGTTCTTTCATATGAGAAAGAGAGACCTGCATTGTTATTAAATGAAATAAATATTTGCATCTTATATTCGCAAGAAGGAAATACTCATTCAAGATCTGCACTGCCGACCCACTACTAAGAAAATGTAAGCAGAAGCCGGGCTCCGTGGCTCAGCCTGTAATCCCGTGCCTTTGGGAAACTGAGGTGAGTGGATTGCCTGAGCCCGCGGGTTCGAGACCCGCCTGGACATCTCTGCAATAAATCAAAAAATCAGCCGGGCATGGTAGCGCGTGCCTGTAATTCCGGCTACTTGGAAGGCTGAGGCGGAAGGATTGCTGGAGCCCAGCAGGTCGAGGCTGCGATGGCCGGGAGCAGGCACTGCACTCCAGTCTGGGTGACAGAGTGAGACTCCAACTCAAAAAAAAAAAGAAAAGAAAATGTAAGCAGAAACAGCTGACTCAAACAGTGAAACACACAGCTTTTCAACCATTTTGTCTTTAAATGCTACACTTTTCCATGTAGTACCTCTAGGGCACTGGATGATCACACGCTGATAGGTTAGTTCTTCACATCTAATTGAATTAGCAGAGTTTCTTTGTGGCTGGTTCTTTTTCTAGGGACAAAGGCAGAAGACTGTTGCTTAGAAAAGCAGTTGATGTCATTAACTTCCTTGTCTCTGAATAGGATAATTATGGATATTCAGAAAAGAATCCACTCTACTGGTTTTCAAAAGCTTTGACCTGCCAGGCACAGTTGCTGCAGGAAAGTGAAAATTCTGTCTTGTTACTTAATTAACGTTGTGTCAAGACTGAGCAACTTGAGGGCAGGGTCTTTTCTTAATCTTCTTTATACTCCCACTACTTTGTATAATACCTGGCATATAAAAGGTGCTTAGTAAACGTTAAATGGGATGGCACTGCCCTTTTACACTCTTTTAGGACTGTTAAGATACAAAACTAATAGCAAAAAGTAGGAAAAACTCAAGTGTTTTCCTACTCTCACACACAGTCAGCATTCAACACAGAGTACAATCCTCCCTAGGTATAGGAGGGGGATTGGCTCCAGGACCCCTTTGAATACCAAAATTCAGGCATACTAAAATCCCACAATCCATGATGTGTATAAGAAAAACTGCCCCAGGCCGGGTTCGGTGGCTCTGCCTGGGATTACCCAGCACTTTGGGAAGCCAAGGTGAGTAGATTGCCTCAGCCTGTGGGTTCAAGACCCGCCTGGGCAACTTGGCGAGACCTCATCTCTACAATAAATCAAAAAATTAGCCGGGCATGGTAGTGCGCTCCTGTAGTTCCAGCTACTTGGAAGGCTGAGGCGGAAGGATCACCGGATCCCAGCAGGTCGAGGCTGCGGTGGCCCGGATTACAGGCTGAGCCACCGAGCCTGGCTTTATTTATTTATTTATTATTTATTTATTTTTTATTTTTTTGAGTTGGAGTCTCACTCTGTTGCCCAGACTGGAGGGCAATGGCTGCTCCCGGCCACCGCAGCCTCAACCTGATGGGCTCTGGCAATCCTTCTGCCTCAGCCTTCCAAGTAGCTGGAATTACAGGCGTGTGCTACCACGCCCGGCTAATTTTTTGATTTATTGTAGAGATGAGGTCTCGCCAAGTTGCCCAGGCGGGTCTCGAACCCACGGGCTCAGGCAATCCACTCACCTCAGCCTCCCAAGGCGCGGGATTACAGACTAAGTCACCGAGCCTGGCTTAATTTTTTTTTTTTTATAGAGGTAAGATCTTGCTGAGTTGCCCAGGCTGGTCTTGAATTCCTAGGCTCAAGCAATCCTCTAGCCTCAGCCTCCCAAAGTGCTGGAATTACA